TGTAACTATCGATTACGCCGATTTTAATATCCCCATCCAGTAAGCCTCACGCTACCCTGGTCAAAGTTTTCGTACCCTTATGCTGAAAATGAGTTTGACCGCCGTTTGCTTTTTCCATCTACTGTTTATCTTGGCGAACAACACACGCCGTGCCAATCTGGTTGGTGACATGCACCACATAACCAACGTAATTAATGGGAGTTGACCACTTGCTCCAGTGGGAGACTTCGACTACCTACCTACATCTCTGAGTCTCACCTCAGCATTCTTTGTCCGGATAACCGTCCAGACTAGTGAAATGCAACGTGCTCAACACTGACAGTCTATCTTCATCCTATTATCTCTGCGCATTCGTCCAACGGCTGCAGTTCATACGCCACAATTCACATTAACCGAATGCCGCCATGGTACCAAAGATGTTTAAAGTTGGTGAAAACCAATCGAGCCTTTTCTTTGTGTCGAAACCCCATTCAAGATGCGTTCACCAGGCGAGATATAGCTGCCCAGATAACGGATATTTGTTCAGTACCCCTATTACTTATGCTGCTGCTATTACTACTACTTTTAAGGTGAGAAACGCAGGCAGAACATACCTACACTAGGACTTGAACTAGCCAGAAAAACTTGCAACTTACCTGGATCTTCGCTCAGTAGTAAAAGGTGACCTCCGGCTCCGGAGTGAATAGATACCACTACCCTAGTTCGGGGGCTGATGACAGATTCTTATATATAACGAAGCTGACTAGAATAGTGAGAGCAACCTCGACAAGTACACTTTCCTTCGTAAACCTGAGTGTAAAACAGCCGTAAGCTCGGATTCGAATTAATCAATTAGTCTAAAGGGATCGTATAAAATTTGCAGCCACGTCATTCAAGAAGTAGCACCAGAGTACAGAGATCGACTGATTTGAAGGTGGCTTTTAGATCAAAAAAGACAGAGAAGGTAGGTCTACGAAAGGAATGACTGTGTTCCAGAATTTGGCGAAAGGTGCGACGTACACTTCAATGGGTTTGTGAATGTTTACCGACGATCTATTTCTTACTGCGCAAAGCATATGTCACCAGTCATTGATTTACGTGGAAATAACTCACGTTCATCGACGAGGCTCGCAAAGCATTCGTCAACGGAAATGGGCTAACTCTAATATAGCTGCAGTTTCACATCACACCCCGGACGAGCTTTTAGCCCTCACTGCTGACGCATCCAACGTTGTAGTAGGTGCAGTACTACAGCAGCGGATAGGTGAAGAGTGACAACCTTTAGTATTCATCTCGAAACGTTTGCAACTGGCTAAGTCTCGTTACAGCACATTCGGCCTCAAATTCCTAGTCATCTACCTAGATATCCGTCACATGCTAGAAGGTCGTCCTTTCACCGTCTTCACGGATCACAGATCACTCATTTTCGAAGCAGTCAAAAACTGCAACAGTTACTCTCCCAGAGAGTCACACCACTTAGATTATGTCACTGAGAGCATAAAACACAGGGGCGCTCAATCGTGTCGCCGATGCAATTTCACGCATCCACTTTCTCTACTCGGACACCGTCGACCTTGGACCACTCGCGGCTTTACAAACAGCCGACCCAGAAACGGAACTCCCTAAAAACAATAGTTCTCTTCAGCTCCAAGAGGATGCATTGAGCACGTCTGAGGGCACTATACTTTGCGACGCCTCAGTAGGAAAACCACGCACCGTATTGGCACACACGTATGGGAAACAAGTTTTCACTGCCCTGCACAACTTAACTCACCCAGGAATAAGAGCTTCATTTAGGATAGTAACAGAACGTTTCGTTTGGTCTAGAACGAACCGCGATTTAGCTACATGAACACGTTCCTCATGGGAATGTCAACGTTGTAAGATTATAAGCCACACCCAGATATTGTTAGGCACTTCCGACTTCTAACCGTTCGTTTCCAGCTGGTGCACATCGACTTATTGGGGCCACTCCCACCGTCAGGAGGTTTAACATACCTACTGACCTGCGTTAGACCGCTTCTCCCGTTGACCAGAAGCATTCCCAATCCGTAATTGCACATCCGAAGCGACAGCTAAGGCGTTTTTGCAGCGATGGGTAGCAACGGGCGGCTGCCCGTTGCCTTTCACCACCAATAGAAGTTCTCATTTCGAAGGGTCATTCAAAGCGCAGTTCACCATGCTAGGGTGCAAACACACTCGCACAACCGCAAATCATGCGGCTGCAAACAGCCTAGACAACTTGGAGCAGCCCTCGAGGCTCAGGCCGGTTCAGAATGGCCATCCGGTTGTTCTGTTGGGCATTCGAAATACGATAAAAGCCAACTAGCACAGTACATCGGTTGCACTGGCCTTCAGTTGTACGTTACGTCTTCCAGATGAGTTCGTTTCACCTAAGACTCAAAGTAGCTTTCATTAAGTGGATTTTGCACAACAGCTGGTGCATCAAATGCGTGAGGTGCACGCTGCTACCACACGGCAGCAAACCATACCCGTCTACGTAGCGAAAGACCTCACGTGTTGCACGTACGTTTTCCTTAGTGTAGATAGCACATCTTTTCAAGCACCATACACCGGACCACATGAGGTTTTACTCGTGTAAAGACAAATATGCAATAACAGAAGTTAACGGCAAGGTGTCCGTTAGTTTACATAGACTTGAAAGGTGTTCTTAGAAGCAATCTTCACTACCTCCGATTTAACTACTTCAGCTACGGATCCCCCATCTGTAGCCCCAGCAAACACCACACCTGTAGAGAACCACCCCTTAACGCCACAATCCATGCTGGTAGAGCCCGACCACCGCGGTGGCGAATTCCTTAAACCAGTATGCTTCCAGTGCTAACACAGTTCTCTGTCAATTTACCGAACGTTTTTCTTCTGTCCTACGTAGCTCTTACTCTGCCCCACCTTGGTTTATTTTTTTTGCACATAGATAACCTCAAACATTCAAAAAAGAAACGTTACTTGCAGCATATTGTTGATCATTATTCTTGCATTTTGTTTTCAGAATAAAAAAAGAAGGTCCACAAAAAAGNCAAAAAAGAGACATTTTTTTATTTTTGTCATTTGTGTTCGACTAGCTCCAACAAGAGTGCTTCGAGGTTCTCTCCCGTTCTTTTCCAGGAACACCATCCGTGAAGAAGAGAACACCAATCGAACAAATATTAGAAATCCAGCAGTAGAAGAACTGCAACTACAACTTTGTCCGGATATATCATCATTACCCATTGTAAGAAAACACAACGTAGCGAACAAGCTCGTTTGCGGTGATTCTTCTACAGGTTGATACATAACAATTTATATTCAAATGTTTAGAAGGGGCGAGAAATAATGACAAGTGGGAAAAGAGATAATCAACATTCCAGTTCCGATCAACCCACCTATCCAGCCTATACAACCTCGACCAGGACTAAAATCATCTGATTCTCTAGCGGGCATCGCTCAGATGCAAAAGAGAATCGATGCGGTATAATGTCCATAAGTTAAGAGATGTTGATCAATCTAGTTTCTCTGTGATCTTCACATGAAGATCTGGCTAACTCCTGCCAATCCACGGACCGTGCCGATAGTCACGGGTTAAAATCGGGTTCATTTGTACAAACATGCGAACAAGCGAACCTCACTGGGTGGGTCGTTAGTGTAATCTGTCAATCTTTACTGAGTTTTGCACAATCTGACAAAAACTACAAACAACTAATTCAGGGCAGTGATTCCTGATGACAGAAGAAGAGGATAATTAAAATGAATCGAGGCAGTGATAAATCTGTGAATATTTTAACCCGGAAACAATTTGTGATGATGATGTGATAATTAGTTGACAATCAGATAAGCACTAAGAAGCGAGAAATAAATAGGTTCATCTAGAAAGTCGACTCGTCAACACCAAGCAGAAGGCGTACAATGTTTGTCATCCATGAAAACGGTATTTTATATTCACATCAGAGCATGCTTTAGGGTAACATTTAACTTTCTTTTTTTGTTTGATCAGTGAGTCGAGTAAAAGCGTTACATATTGACACTGGAGGACACAATTCTACATTGTGCTAAATGGGGCGGGATAATTTGTATGATTGCCATTGCGTGTTTCGGGGGAAGTCATTTGAGAAGTATATTTGATCGCTGTTT